TGCAGAATGCATGATAGTGTGTTTTTGTATCTGAAGGGCATCCCTGCCTATATCTGAGGATACTGTTTTGTGATCTCATCTGTTCACCGTGAAGCCTCGGATCCCTTGCATATTTTGGCTGCTTGTTGCTAAGGGCTAGGTAGCTGAACCAAAATATTAAAGGGGGTGAGAGTAATGGAACAAATCTGCCTTGCTTTTTTCTTAGTCTGGAGTGATCTGTCAACATGTGCCTTTCAGCAGGCATTTTCCTGAAAGAGAGAGAGGGGAAAAGAGAAAGCAAGATATTCACCAAAGCCACTGGTTGTGTTTCAATATATTACCTATGTCGCATGTCTCCAGATACTGAAACACAGGGGTCCAGTTAGCTTGATGAGCATGTTTACAGCATCTACTGAGAGCTATATGGCTATTACATTTCAGACACTGCTGGGGAGAATTAAAAACTGTCATCAATTGTTCTGCAGTGTTTCACACATACACCAGCTTCATACAATACTGTGATTTGCAATTTAGCTCGGTGGTTAGCATACTTGCAGAGTAACTTTGCCATATGCAGAGATGCCTGCTGGGAACTTACCACCCGCAGGAATTTTATGTTATGTTATTTTTAGCAGTGATGGCATGAAAACTCAAAATTCCTTCAATCACCATCTAGAGGCACTTTCCAGCAATGTATTCTGCGACAGCTGTAGAGACACAGTTCTCTTTTGTTCCTTGAAGCTGTGACCTAAGCAGGTAGGTTGTGGAAGGAAAAGAGGAGGAAATCATGCAGTCATAAAAAACTAAAAGAAAAAGGAAGGGAAAAAAACCTTTGCCCCCTTTTAAGACTTTTCAGATTATGTCCAAACAATAAGCAAACATTCACATATTCCAGGTTTATTATCATGTTCTTTATAATGTATGGATTTTTACCTTTTCAGAGCTAGGCTTTTCATATTTTCAAATTCTCTTCTTCTGATCACCATTCCAACAAATACAAGGTGAAGAAAATCCCCAGAAACAACCTAAAAAACTAATATTTTGTTGCTATTGTTCAAGGAATATTCTGCACCTCAGGGAAGCTCCTAAACAATCACCCAGAGAGTGGCAGACGCTGGTGACAAAATGAACTGGTGCTTGAATCTGGCTTCATCCAGCTCTCATCAAGATGGGTTTGCAATGCCAGAACTCATTTTTAGCACTTTGTGAGGTAATGTTCATACTTAGGGGCCTTCCACACAGCCCTATATCCCAGAATATCAAGGCAGAAAATCCCACATTATCTGCTTTGAACTGGAATATATGGCAGTGTGGACTCAGATAACTCAGTTCAAAGCAGACATTGTGGGATTTTCTGCCTTGATATTCTGGGATATAGGGCTGTGTGGAAGAACTCTTAGAATAATAGAATAGAATAGACATAGAAGGGGCTGCTAAGATCATCTAGTCCAAGACTTAGGAAAATATAACTGAGGTATTCCTGAAAGAAGGCCATCCAACCTCTGTTTGAAGATCTTCAAATATGGACAGTTCACCACCCCTCGAGGTAGTCTTTTCCTCTGTCAAACTGTTTTTAAAGTAAATAAATTCTTCCTACTGAATAAGTGAAATTTCTTACTTTGAAATTTGAACCCATTGATTCCAGATCTAGTCTCCAAAGCAGCAGAAAATGTTTTCTACATGACATCCCTTCAAATATTTTTAAAAATTGGTTACCATTTTTAAAACAAACTTCCAACACATCCTTTTGAACGGCAAAGTAATGCTTATTCTCAATTATATATATATTTAGCATGAGAGCAGCAGAATCAAATTTGCTGTTAGCTCTGTTTTTATAAAGGTGCACATGCTCAGAGTGCTTCTTTATTAAATCAAATGTGAAAACAGGATTTGTTGGTTTTGTTTTGCTATAACATGCCAGGAACTTAGGGCCCTTCCACACAGTCATATAACCCGGAATATCAATGCAGAAAATCCCACAATATCTGCTTTGAACTGGGTTATCTGAGTTCATACTGCCATACATTCCCTTTCAAAGCAGATAAGATGGGGTTTTATTTAGCTGTGTGGAAAGGTCCTAAGAAGCAGATGTCAAGCGCATAATGGTAGTGGGTTACTTAAAAATAAGAGAAGGGTGAGTTATATGCTTCATATTTTCTTATGAAGCCTCTAATTTACACATCTTAAATTACCTAGAATCATAGAATCAAAGAGTTGGAAGAAACCTCATGGGCCATCCAGTCCAACCCCCTGCCAAGAAGCAGGAATATTGCATTCAAACACCCCAGACAGATGGCCATCCAGCCTCTGTTTAAAAGCTTCCAAAGAAGGAGCCTCCACCACACTCCGGGGCAGAGAGTTCCACTGCTGAACGGCTCTCACAGTCAGGAAGTTCTTCCTCATGTTCAGATGGAATCTCCTTTCTTGTAGTTTGAAGCCATTGTCCTTGTCCTAATCTCCATGGAAGCAGAAAACAAGCTTGCTCCCTCCTCCCTGTGGCTTCCTCTCACATATTTATACATGGCTATCATATCTCCTCTCAGCCTTCTCTTCTTCAGGCTAAACATGCCCAGCTCCTTAAGCCGCTCCTCGTAGGGCTTGTTCTCCAGACCCTTGATCATTTTAGTCGCCCTCCTCTGGATACATTCCAGTTTGTCAATATCTCTCTTGAATTGTGGTGCCCAGAATTGGACACAATATTCCAGGTGTGGTCTAACCAAAGCAGAATAGAGGGGTAGCATGACTTCCCTAGATCTAGACACTATGCTCCTATTGATGCAGGCCAAAATCCCATTGGCTTTTTTTGCCGCCACATCACATTGTTGGCTCATGTTTAACTTGTCCACGAGGACTCCAAGATCTTTTTCACCTAGTTATATCACTCACTCTCAAAAAAACTTCACAGAGGATGTGGAGGTTAAAATGCTCCTTAAGCTGAAGGACCGCATCCCAGGGTTACATATTCATTCATCAGAATCAGCTTGAGATCTGTGTCAGATATCAACAATTTGTGCCTCTCCAAATGTTCTTAGACTCCAGCTCCCATAAGCAATAGCCGGCATACGTCATGGTGAAGTGTGTAGTTAGACAAGATCCAAAGTGTCACTAGTTGCCTATTCTTGTGCTGTGGGAAGCTGATGTAAATGACATAGAAGTGCTTCAACACATATACACAAGTTAGGCTATATAATGCATAGTTATAGCATTTGATACCACTATAACTGCAGTGGCTCTATCCCTTGACATTTTCGTGTTTGTAGTTTGGGGATGTCCTTGGAAATCTCTGTTAATAAAGCTCTAGTCTGTTATTCAGGGGACTTCATTACAATGGTTTTCTAGAAGATAATTCTGTGTTCCTCAACTCTAACCCTGATTTGTTTCATCAAAATATATATTCTGGATCTTTTCATGCTCATTCAAATACATTTCCCAATTTCTTATATAACATCTAATATGGGAGTAAATTTTACTCTAGATATTTTATGAATAATAACCCAATATCCCAAACATCTTTCATCTAAAAAACTGAACAAGAAAGAAAAAAAATCAAAAATGGTATGTGGAATGAACATGAAGAATTTGCTGAGTGTGATTCACTCTTGTTCAGATGACAAATAAAATCTTGAAATGTAAATATAGTTATTCCATACCTGATAGCAATAGCTGCATCACAAAACAGTTATTATGGGGGTGTGAATCATACAGTTGGAAGAGACCTCATGGACCATGCAGTCCAACCCCCTGCCAAGAAGCAGGAAAATCTCATTTAAAGCACCCCTGACAGATGGCCATCCAGCTTCTGCTTAAAAGCCTCCAAAGAAGGAGCTTCCACAACACTCTGGGGCAGAGAGTTCCACTGCTGAATAGCTCTCACAGTCAGGAAATTCTTCCTAATGTTCAGATGGAATATCCTTTTCTTTAGTTTGAAGCCATTGTTCTGCATCCTAGTCTACAGGGCAGCAGAAAACAAACTTGCTCTCTCCTCCCTATGACTTCCACTGACATATTTATACATGACCAATAGGCCATCATGTCTCCTCTCAGTCTTCTCTTCTTCAGGCTAAACATGGCCAGCTCTTTAAGCCACTCCTCATAGGGCTTGTTCTCCAGACCCTTGATCATTTTAGTCACCCTCCTCTGGACACATTCCGGTTTGTCAATATCTCTCTTCAATTGTGGTGCTCAGAATTGGACACAGTATTCCAGGCAGAATAGAAGGGTGGCATGACTTTCCTGGATCTAGACTCTATACTCTTATTTATGCATGCCAAAATCTCATTGGCTTTTTTAGCCGACATCTTGTTGTTGGCTCATGTTTAACTTGTTGGCCACGAGGACTCCAAGATCTTTTTCAAACGTATTACTGTCGAATAGTTGGCTTTGTGTGGTTTTATTTTAAACTCCATTTTATATATTATTTTAAAGTTTTTTTAAAAAAACTCTTATGATGCTTTTCTGGAATCCTAAGGTTCCGTGGAAACATAGTTTGGGAACCACTGGACTAGACAACTCCGCATGACATGCATCTCTCTCTCTCTCTCTCTCTCTCTATCCCCTCTCTCTATGTGTTGGTGGTAACTGATATAAAGAAGATTATACAGATTAAGAACTCATTTTACAATATGCTAAAATGCCCCAAGACACAGGAACAACTTGGCCTTCCAAAAGTAGTTGAACTGCATCTCCCAGAAATGGTAGGGCTGTATAAAACTGTAGTCTAGCAACATCTGAAGGACCTCATAATTCCCTTCCCAACTTTAGATCCAAAAATTATCCCAGCAGGTTCTGTTGTTTGTTCCTACACCATGCCTTTCTTTCCCTTGCTCTCATTACACAACGGAATGGCTATAATAAGTCACCTTTCCTTCTCAAAATGTATATTATATAGAAGAAGTGTACATTCTAAATTATTTCCAGCAACCTCTGCTCCCTTCTTCCAAGTGTTTCTAGGTTAAGCAGGTTATTTATGTGTTCTCTGTATTCTTTCTTTTCACTGATGCTTTCATAAATAATTCTTGCAGGCAGCAATGTGAAGTTGGCAGTGCACCTCTACATTTCAACATGGCCAGAATGTCAAGCTGTTTAATGAAGACAATATCTTCAGAGACTTGCTTTAATGTAAAAAGGGAAAAGGTGGGGAAAGAGGCATCCTTGGATTGAAATGGATTTGTCCGAGGTAACCATTTCCTGAGTATCATTACTATATACGATGGGAAAAGGGATAGCCATTTCCTTTGAATATAAAACAATTTGTTCGGCTTGTCATAAAAACCTGAAAGGATCTTTTCTTTGCTTCCATTCTGTCTTAACAGCTTCCCATAAAACTTAAGAAATTGCAATATAACTTTGAAAATGCTTTTGCCCTGGCAAAACTGAAGACTGCCGTTTGAAATATTTAGGGGATTAGGCCACACTCAGAGCAGGCAATTGGCTTGTTTGCACATAAGAAGCACTTTGAAAATTATATTTCTGTCTTGGACCTTTTGGGGCTTAAGCACCCTCCTTTCATATGTCAAGTCTTGCATGCTTCACTGCTTTCTTGGCATTTCTTCATTCAGCATTTCCTTTCCGGTTTCCAGTGAATTCTCTTGGGCTCTAACCACTTCACGGAGAAACTTTGTAGTTCTCAGTAGTACATGACTGTCACCGTTAGAAGCCACACTCTTTTGTCTGACAGACAATTTATACTCTTTAAGTTTTTTGAGCCAAACCTTTACACCTTTGCTGACTTAAGGGACCTCTACTATGCCTTGTCATTTGGAGTGAATTTTCTCCCTCTCTCTTTCTTTATATATTTTCCACATTTCCCTTAGGTCCACAGTGGTTCTCAACCTGGGGTCCCCAGATGTTTTTGGCCCACAACTCCCAGAAATCCCAGCCAGTTTACCAGCTGTTAGGATTTCTGGGAGTTAAAGGCCAGAAACATCTGGGACCCCAGGTTGAGAACCACTGGTCTAGAGGATCAAGTCCAGTGTGACCAAAAATCATCATGCTTTTACAATTTCTGAATGATCTAGGACCTAAGGCAAAACAAGTGCTCATGCAATGCACTTGAAATATCTATGCTCAATTGGACCTAACAAGCATAGGTAGGTCTTCTGCCACAAGGTTTTTAGCTTCCTACAAAAGGAATATTCATTTAGAACACTATCTGACTATTCCACTTCCGCTACCCTTAAGAAGTATATATACTAGGGCTAAGTTTGAACAACTCGGTATTATGATGCAAACCGGGTGTTACTGTAACATCCCAAGAAGTGAGAGATTCTGCGTATGGGGAGAAGAAACTGTGGAAGATATCGAACATTTCTTAATTGACTGTCCAGCATATACTGAACTGCGATACAGATATTTACATCCAATATTATCCAACTGTAGGTCCCCAATAGAAATGAGCTTCTGACACTCCTCTTGCAAGGACAGGAAAGATCCATAATCGGAATAAGCCTTTTTATTCTGAAAGCTATCAAGAAAAGAGAACATTTCCTGAAAGAAGATCCAGGAAAATAAGATTCTGATTATAAATAGAAGGTCAGCTGCTGTCCTCTCCTTTTTGCCTTGTCTTTTATTTGTGTTGTGTTTTGAAATGGTCATATGACTGGTCAAATAAATAAATAATAATTATTATAAACCCTTCCTGAGTTTGGAACGAACACCTTGTGTGGTATTGTGTGTTCCAGCAGAGATTTTCCTGCCACAACTATACTGAGGAGCTTGGATCTTACTACTGGCTGCAAGGGAAGGTTCCAGGACTCTGTTAAGGTAACATAAATCCCTTATGACAACAACTATGACAATATGTATTTGCTTTAAAAGTTTATACTTTATTTTCTCCTATCTATCAAGTATTTTTGAATATTAAAAGTATTTTATATCATTTCTAAAAATGTAATATGTGTGGGTCATATATCTTAATTTTTAGATATTCCAATTTAAAGTGAAAAAGTATGCATTAGCAGTCCTTCAAAATGCTGTATCTCTGATTCCAATCAATATTTTTCATGAAATTTGAAAACAATATTATTTAGTTTCATCTGTTTTTTACCCACATGTAATCACACTGAATAGTTTTAAAAATATTATGAAAAAGTAGTTGCATCACTTCCTTCCTGCTCTTCCCCTTTCAGAGCTTTCTCTTACATCCATCCACCTTCTTGCTCTTCCCACTGGGATATAAAAGGAAGGCATGAAAGCAGCTGTGGGTCATTCCAAACACAGCTGTCTTATTGTGCAATTGTCTGCTCGCTTGAGTTACTGTTCTGAGACTTAAAGTCCTGCTAGTTGCTGTTAGTGTTTCCTTTCATCTACCTGACTGCAGAAGATGCCTAAATGTCTACCAAAGCAACTAAAAGTTTCTGAGTTTGTGGTAAAAAAAAAGAAAAAAGCCAAATATTGAAGACCAAGAAGGTAGCAGGTTGAGATCCATTGCATCAGCTGGTGCTGATGAAGACCCCAGAACACGCACACCTGCATTACAGGTGAAAACTGAGGAAACTGGAAACTGAGGTGCCTGTCTACCACTGGTTCATCTAATTCAAACCCTGCCAAAGAAATAATGGAACAGGAGCAAAGACAAGAACCCGTACCTCGCGAAGGCTGATCTGGCCGGTGTGGTCCATGCCTTGGTCACCTCTAGATTGGATTACTGCAATGCGCTCTACATAGGACTGCCCTTGAAAACGGCTCGGAAATTCCAACTGGTCCAACGGGCAGCAGCCAGGATGTTAACCGGGGCTCATTACAGAGAGAGGTCAACCCTCCTATTTAAGGAGCTCCACTGACTGCCGTTTATTTTCCGTGCCCAATTTAAGGTGCAGGTGCTTACCTACAAAGCCCTGAACGGTTTGGGACCACCCTACCTGCATGACCGCATCTCCATCTACGAACCCACACGTGCACTTCGGTCATCTGAAGAGGCCCTGCTCGTGATCCTGCCCGCGTCGCAAGCACGCTTGGTGGGGACGTGAGACAGGGCCTTTTCTGTGGTGGCCCCCCGACTTTGGAACGCCCTCCCAAAAGATCTCAGACAGGCCCCTACATTAGCAGTCTTCAGAAAGAATTTGAAAACCTGGCTGTTCCAATGTGCCTTTCCAGATTAGGAACCTCCAATACTAAGTCCTAGAAGCACTTTAGTAGAACCAAGATCACTGCACACCGCACACTGCACTTATTTTATAATCCTACATTCCTCCCGCCACATCAGCACTTTTAGTCCTGTACCCACTACTATGGCCGGCCCAGTTTTAATAGTGTCTCGTTGTATTGTTACTGTTTATTGTTTACTTTGCTTAACTGTTTTTAATTTGCTTTATGTATTGTATTGTTGTATTGTGTTCTGAGGCTTCGGCCTGTGTAAGCCGCATCGAATCCTTCGGGAAATGCTAGCGGGGTACAAATAAAGTAATAATAATAATAATAATAACAATAATAACAATAATAATAATTGTTAGACCTTGGACTTTATATGAACAAGCTTGTTTCTGATGGCCAAGTGAAAGCTCAATTAGTGCAAAATCCATGGACTCCATTGCTAGGATATGTATTTCCTATGAATAAGAAGAGGCATCTAAGTTTTCAACCCAAATGTTTCAAGCAGATTTCCCTGGTTAGTCTACTCACTTCATATACAAGGTGCACTCTGAAAGTACTGTGTGGTGTTTGGAAGAGAAGTTGGGGGTAAAGGTGGCCATCAGAAGCTTGGTGCATTGGTCTCTCTTAGACTACTATTTCTTTTTTCTTCTTTTTTAAATATTCAGTAACCTCACTCCAGTCTGTTTCTTTTCTTCTGATTTCTCTATTTTTCAGTAGTAAGAAGGTAAGTTTATCTAAATTTCTAATATCTATCAGTTTTATTATCCAATCTTCCTCATTTGGGATCTTCTTGTCTCCATATAGACTGAAACGAGATAAAAAGAGGGAAAGAAGAGAGACAAAGAATTAAATGGGGAACGAATGAATAGAGAAAATTTCCAGAAGATACCAGGAGGTCACTTTTATATTTTTCTTTTTTCTTTTTTTCTTTTCTTCAACTTTTTCATTTTTTTCGTTTTTTTATTTATTATATTTTTTTATTTTTTCCATTTTTTTCATTTTTTCTGCTACATGCTTTCTGTCATGTTATTTTATTTTATGGAAACTTTAATAAAGAATATTACAGAAAAAAAGACGAAGAAGCTTGGTGCATTGGCTGCTATACCATTTATGTGATAGAAAGATGCAATTCAAGTCTTCAATGGGCACCAAAAAACAGTAACATCAGAACAACTTGTGGTTGGATGAAAACTTCTTGCTAATTCACAGTGGAAAACATCTTGATGTAACCCACGATGATGATAAAGGAAATAAGAGGAAAGTAGAAGAAAGCAGAAATAAACTTCTGTCAGTTAAGGAAACTACTATATTGTCCTTTGTGGTGGCTGATAAGAACTGGCTTTAAGGGGTAGCAGTGATTCAGGACTTATTACCTGTGAAGAACCTTTTTGCATAATGAAGGTAATTTCAGGGCCTTGTTGAGATCTCACACCAGATCAGGAGACACTGACCTGAAAAGTCATCTCAAAACTGCATCTATGAATGCCCAGTATATTAGTCCTCAAATACAGAATGAACTAACATCTGTGGTGACAAGATAGTAAGAAAATGTTGAAAGATGCAATGCATCACAGTGTTTCTCTGTTTTGGCAGATGATACTTTGAATGTGAGTACTTCAGAATGGTTATTGCTCTTGATAAGGTACACTGATGTTGAAGCTGCAAGAATCAGATAAGACTTTATAGGTTTTGTGGAGATAAGTGATATGACAGGTGGAGGACTTGCAGACATTCTTTTGAAAACACTGGAAAATTGGGCTGAACTTGCAATAATTGACAGGGTTATGATGGAGCTTCTAATATGAGTGGCCATATTAGTGGTGCACAGACAGTTGTATTGCAGAAGTATCCAATGACTGTATATATCCATTGCAGTGCTCTTTTGCTAAATCTAGCCTTAGTAAAGACTTGTAACATTCTACCTGCCAGGAACTGCCAAGGAACAATATCATCTGTGTATGAAATTTATTCAGAGCATAATCAATCAGACTGGGACTGTTGAGCAAACAACCTGATGCTGCTTTGTGAAACCCGTTGGGT